GCCCCAGGCCCGAGCGAGACACCTGGGCAGCGCCCTCCCAGCGGCACCGTTCTGAAGGGAAGGGGGCGCCGCACGCTGCCCGCTCGGGCACTCTCCCTACCTCTCGCTCTTCCGCGACACAAAGCTAACTCAGGCCCTCTTTCTGCAGTTTGAAGCCAAACTCCCAATTTTATTTTTTCTTTCTCCTTACGGATGTATATGGGGAAGAAAGGCTCATGCATTGCCCCCAAAAATGTTCCCTGCCTCAACCGTTGACCCGGGTACCCCACAGTTACCTGTTTGCAAAATGCCTTTGGAGTGGTGGGGAGGGGGCGCTTTGCGTCTCTTTCTCCCAGGGGTTTTTATCAGGGTGGAGACAGCGACTGAAGCAGATTGCTGACTCCAATCCCAGAGTGCACCCAAGTCTGCTGCAGGTCCCACACAGGCAGCCCAGCACTACGGGAAATGTTGTTGCCGCTGCTTCGTAAGTACAGTGCATTTGGGAGGCCTGTGGTGGTTTTACTTGCCCCGATACGAACGTGTACAGACTTTTTGTCTTATTCCCTAAACAATACAGTATAACAGCTATTTACATCACATCAGGTATTATAAGTAATCTAGGATGATTTAAAGTCTGTGGGTTTAGATTGATATGCAAACACTACACCATTTTGAATAAGGGTCTTGGGCGTCAGCAGATTTGGGAATGGGTGGTCAGGTCCTGGCTCCATTACAACCCCAGGAAGATGCCTCGAAGGGAACTCAGTCGTTCTTAGTCGGGACTGAGCACCGGGGCCATGGGTTCCTGCGCTGACCTTGTGTCACCGCCTGTGTGACACAAGCGAAGTCCTTTCCACTTTCTGGGCCTCTCTCAGAACAGGCCACATGATCCTCCTCACGCACCTATGGCCAGCTGGGAGGCAGAGGGAAGGCAGAGAGGAGACAGAGGCCCTTATGGTGTGGGAAAAACAGTGGGTGCAGGAGAAAGCAGAGAGGAGAAGGAATCTACCTTCTGAGTCACTAAACAAGTTCAATTTGAAAACTGGGAGGACGAACCTCCAGTCAGGGAGCCCAGTCTTTGGCCAGCAGAGCCACCAGGTGGAGTCCCCGGTCCCTGAAGCCCTCTGCCTCAGCAAGAAGGGCAGGAGTCGGGGAATTCCAGGTCAGCTGGAAAATCACAGAGCCCAGAGAGGGGCCGCTGGTGTTTTCCAGGCTTGGGAGGAACACTGGGAGCTGGAGACAGCTGTCCGCCTCCGGGGACTGGCGTCCTCCTCTTCCTCCCCTGCACCCGACTTCTTGCCAGGGGCCCGTGTGCCTTGTGACACGGAAGAGCTGTCATGAGATCCTGACCCCGCTCGGTGGCCTGCTAGTTGGACAATAGCCGGGCACCTCCTCGGCGAAGAGGACTTCCCTGCCAAGCCAGGTGGATGCCCTGAAACTCCCTCCCCGCTGCTGATGTAGCCTCCAGTAGTAGTAATAATAATAAATAATTGATAATAATCATTCACCACTACTGATTGTGTCCGGCACTGTTTCTAAGTGATTATTACAGTAGTGCGCTCAGCAATTAGGACAACCCAAGAGATGGTGCTATTTTCAGATAAAGAAACGGAGGCCATCGCCCAAAATCCCAACCACAGAAACTGCAGAGGGAGCAGCCCCTCGTCCAGCCTCGCCGGTGACTTCCGGTTCTCATGGGTCACGACACCCTTGCTACTCCCCGAAATGAACTTCGTGTTTTCACAAGTCAGCAGTAGGAAAACCACCATGCTCCTCTCCCTTCCTCCTCTTCCCTCCCCCAACGCGCGTGTGCACACGGGCGCACCTGCGAACACACACACACACACACACACACACACACACACACACCCTACTCCCTAGCCACTTCCCATTTATAGGAAATGGGGGATGACGTGAGGACCAAGGCCATCCTTGGGGAGCCACTAATAGTCTGGCTGGATATCGGAGAAACCAAAGACGCTGGTGAAGTGCATTAGTAGCTCCACCCCGCCCCCAGCGCAGCCTGTCCCTGTAGTTACCCGGCCTCCAGTGTCCTCCTCGTCCTGCCCTGCAGGAATGGAGCACCCCAGGGGCTGGTTGGGCTCCTGCAGGCCAAGAGGCCATGAAGGCCCTGAGTCCCTGGCGTCCCGCCTTCCCTGGCCATCCCCGCCAGCTGAGGCTGTGGACCCCTCGGAGATCTCGCCATTCTCCCCCTGCCTGGCTCAGGATGAGGGGGAGCATCAGGGCCATCCACAGGGGCAACCCTAGCTTCAGGGTTGGGAGGAGGAGGGATGGTCCCCTGAGCACAGCAATTCCATTTCTAGGATTTCTCTTGTAGCCAAATAATCAAAGATAATGCATTCAGCTCATCTTTATAATAGTGAAAAGATAGTTTAAAACTCAATACCTTCTCATGGAGCTACATCCCCAGTCTTTTTTTAATTTCTTATTTTGAGACATTGTCTTGCTAAGTTGCTTAGTTGCCCAGGCTGGGCTCAAGCTGTTGATCCTCTTAGCCGTGAAAAGTGCTTTGATCACAGGTGTGTGCCTGTATGATCTAAATACAGAATAAGCCATGGGCTAAGCAAATGATGGCAGTGCCATGGGTGGAATGCTATACTGCCACGA